AAATGGATGAGACTTTCATTCGATCTGAAATCAAGTGACTTCTGTCAGCTGGCATTATATAGTCTTCGAGGTCGCCGTGGCGAGCGCAAATGTTAGTAACTACAAACGGACATAAGTAGCGTATGGTTGTTAATTATAGCCAAACTATAAATCGTTTGACCTATCTTGATGCCTACCCGCTGCGAAGGATCGATGACCTCATCGATAAAATCACCCGTTTTGATGTGTATAGCACTCTGGATTTGAAGAGTGTTAATCATCAAATATCAATCAACGAGGGATAACGAAAATACACTGCGTTTGAAGCCGGTAGGAAACTATGAATTTTGCTGCATTTCCTTCGGTATTACCAACGGCGTCGCGTGCTTTCAACGAGCCATCGACAGTGTTCTGAAACGGGTAGTAGTCAAAGGTACTTTTGTGTATGTAAACAACGTTACAGTGTGTGATAGAAGCAAAGAGCAACATGATCCGAATCTTAAACGCTTTTTGACGGTTGCCAAAATTTGCGGTATTTCCTTTAATGGCGCGAAAAGTCTTTTTGCAGTTAATAAAATTACTACTCGGTTATGAAATATTAAAGGGCGTTATCAAACCTGACCCGAAAAGACTTCGACCTCTGTCCGAGTGGATGCCACTTCATGATGCCAAATCACAGCAGCACCTAGTGGGGATGTTTGCCTATTCTTCGAAATGGATTCCGAAATTTTCCGACGAAAACTATCCGTTGATTCACAATGAAACCTTCCCGCTACCTAAATCCGTGATAAACTGTTTCGAATAACTCAAAAAAATTGGAACGCGCCGTAGTCGTGACTATCACATTCGGTGTACCACTGGTAGTTGAAACGGATGCACCTGGCACCGCCATCGCCGCTACCTTAAATCAAGATGGCAGACCAGTAGCATTCTTCTCCCGAATGCTATCTCATAGCGAAAAACCAATCCACCGTCGAAAAGTGGCCTACGCTATACTAAAAGCAGTGTGAAAATGGCGCCATTTCCTCATTGGCAATCCATTTACGATAGTGACTGACCAGCGATCAGTGACCTTCATGCACGGTGACATTAACAAGGGAACAGTATAATGACAAAACCCTACTTTGGCATTTGGAACTATCAACTTATCAGTTCGACATAATGTATGGACCGAGAATTAGAAATAAAGCACCCGACACAATTTCCAGAATTAATTATTCAACGTCTTAGTGGTACGGAACTTATCGACCTACACAACTCATGGTGCAACCCCGGTGTTTCTAGTATGATTCATTTTATCCGTTCTCGTAACCTCCTATTTTCCTTGAATGTTGTCAGGACGATGGCTTTACAATGCAAGGTTTCGCTCATATCAAGCCTAGATTCTGTAGACCCCCTGTTGGTCGACTCGTTAAAGTCACAACCGTTTGAACGATTGAGCATTGACTTCAAGGGACCAATTCCATCGAGGTCAAGAAACAGGTATCTCAACTGTGCTTGACGGATACTTCGGTTTCCCTTCGCATTTGCCTGCTCCGATATGACTTCTGCAACAGTGATCGCATGCCTCACTCAGCTGTTTGCTTTATTCGGAATGCCATCTTGTGTACAGTCTGACCGGGGTCCTTCCTTTGTGTCCGAGCAAGTAAGTTTCTGCACAATAAAGGAATATTCACCAGTAGGACTACCGCTTATAATCCGCAAGACAATGAGCAGGTTGGACATCTCAATGTAAATCTGTGTGGCGCGCTATTACCCTCTCATTATCTTCTAAAAACCAGCATATTGGACAGTGGTAGTTGGTCCCCTTAGATGCTCTTCACTCCATCAGAACGCTTCTATGTACGACTACCAACGATACTCCACACGAGCGCTTAGTTCGATTCAACCGCAAGTCAGCTACTGGCACTTCCTTTCCAACGTGGCTATCCGAGCCTGGTCGGGCACTCATGAAACGTACTTAACGTCAGTCGAAATACGAACCATTACTAAAAGAAGTCGACCTACTCGCTTGTAACCTGGCGGATAATGCTTTTGTCCGACTTCCCGATTGCAGAGAGGAGGCTGTTCCTATTCCCTACTTGACCCCTGCTGCTGACAGGATTCCTGATTGCAACGATGTTTTTCTAACGCCCCATGTGCTGAATGCACCGGATATCATTATCCCTAATACTACCCCACCAGCAGCTCCCGATCCATCTCCTAACGCCACGACTGCCAGACCAGAGGCTATTCTGCTACACCGGCAAAAACGAACTCGACCTTACTATCTGAGGAATCGTGAAGCTTGATTCTATTTTCTCGCTCTCTATGTATTATACGTCGCCTTTTAGAACAGTTCCTGCGTTCACATTCTTTCTGCTACCCTTATTCAATTTTCTATCCTAACGCTGACTGCTCCACGCCACATTCATTCTTGCAAACATTATCAACTACTTAGCAACGATTTCACAGTGTGGGCTAATGTTACGTATTTTAAATTTTGGCGTATTCTATGCATTTGCATATTTACCGTTCTAGTTCGTTTCTGTTTTTCAGCTCATACGTCCGAATTGTTAATCGAGTAAGGCCTCCATATCGGCCTTTGCCTTCCTTCAGTCCTGGAGTACTCCGTGTTCATTACAGGGATCGCAAATCCTAGTAGTCTCTTCGTGCGTCAGAGATGGAAGTGGTCGCTGAACTTGATATTCATCAAAAGCTATTCCGTCTGATACAGGAAGCGGACATCAGGAGACCTGGTGTTAGTGAAAGGATACGTGACGAGGGTGGACAGTCTATTCACAACTAGTCGAAAAGTTTGGAGCGTTGGGCTGAGCACTTCAAAAGGCAATTTAGTCGTTCAGAATTATCAAATTTCTCGCTGGCCACTGGTCGCCCTGCTCCCTGGGCTGTTTTTTTGGATCCTTCCTCTCACTCAGAAGTCGAACGTTAGATGGGACTGCTGAAGTTGAATAAAGCCGCGGGACCAGATACTCTTCCTCCAGCTCTCTCGGGGGGACCTGCTCTTGTTGATGATTTACACGAATTATTCGTGAGACTAGGAGCAGGAAACTGTACCAACCGGTTGGATCCACTCCGTTATTGTTCCCATCTTTAAAGGAGGATCGCGTTTGGGATGCGGCAACCATAGAGGAATCAGTCTGTCCCCATCGCCTCCAAATTACTGGTCTCTGTTGTCCTTCACAGACTGACTGGCATTCGTGAAAGCCAGATTCGTGAGAAGCAAACCGGATTTCGTCGAGGTCGTGGCTGCATCGACCACATATTCACTTTGGGTCAGTACGTGGAGCACCGTCAACATATATTGGCGGCGCACCGTTGTCACCTTCTTGGACATCAAACGTGATTCGGTTGATCAATGAGCCCTTTGGGACTGTCTACTCGGAAAAGATGTGCCTGAGAAATATGTAAATATTATCCGAGCATTATACGCGCGTAGCATGTGCAGAGTGAGAGCTTACGGCAAGCTGTCGCTACCCTTCAATATCTCCAGCGGTGTGAGACAAGGATGCCCGTTATCACCTTTTCTCTTCAACTTCTCTATTGGCGAAATCATGGGGATTGCATTCACAGGACGCTACTTAAAAAGTGTGGAGCTACTCCCAGGAAAACGACTTCTTGACTTGGAGTTTGCTGATGATATTGCCCTCATCTGTGACAGCTCCCAGACTTGCCATACTGCACTGGACAGATTAGCACTGGTTGTCAGCCGCTTCGGGCTTCTCTTTGCGCCATCGATGTGCAAAGCTTTACTTCAAGATTGGGAGGGATCGCCTCCTGCGCTGACCTTTGGTGGGATCAGCTAGAATTCGTTCAGAAATTCAACTACCTCGAAAAGCTTGAGACGCTTTTGCTAACCTTCGCCACATGTGGCGCCGGCGGGCGTCACTCTCCCTGAAGAGTTGAGTGTGCATTAAAGCGGTGCGTTCGATGATCAGCCGACATAAAGAGGCTACTTATGTTCTACCACCGGTGTCTTCGCAGTGTGGCTCATATCTGGTGTGAACACTGCGTGAGCAACGAGCATGTTCGACGCCTTGTTTACGGCACGGGAAAAGGAACTGAACTGCTCAGCACCGTCATTTCACGCACCAGGCTCCGATGTCTCGGACACGTGTTGCGCATGCCAGCCCACCGGCTCCCGCGACGCAGGTTGTTTGCTCGCCGGGGTTGTGGATGGAAGAAGAGGAGAGGTGGCCAAGCGATGACTTTGTCGTGAGGAATGAAGGCCCTCACTTCGAAGCTAGCATCGTGTGGAACTTCTCTTCTCTATGTTTGTGCGGTCGGAACGACGATGAACACGTTCGGCTGGATACACTTGCTGACATGGTAGGGAGCCGATCTCAATGGCGTTCGTGCTGTGAGTTTTTTTATGTCTCCCCATCCCTCCCGCTTCAACCTCGATCTTATTACTTAGGATATAATTTTTGCACAATGAATTTTCTTTGCTACGTAGTATCTGGCTGTAGCTTTCCGGATGGTGCCCATCCGTTGCTGGTAACAGCTGACATGCATTTGTTGCGTGTTCCTTTTTTCTTTTATGTATTGCTGCACAGTAGCTGAGATGTTTTGCACCCCTAGTTAACGTGTATAATAAAAGATTGCATGACATGACTGTTTGTAGTATGTTGCATTTTTTGTACCATGTTGCTCTCATCATTTTTCGTAGTATTTATCACGTGCATCTCTTTGCTTTCAGCCCATACTCGTATTCTGTCAGATGATTAAAGCCTAATCTACGGGCCGTTTGTCTTTTCGCTGATCCGTCCTACGTTGTATCTGAGTTCTTATTTACTACCCTGTTATGAATGGCTCTGAAGGTGTTTGGGATATTCTATCCATCATACTTCAACGCATAATGGAAACAAGCAAATTAAAGTGTAATGTCAGTCTTTTTTAGCAATCCACAGAATTTCCTTGCGCTGATCATGACTTTACAACGCAAATTAATTTCATCCGCTGTTTTACTTGTCTTGAGTATGTGTCATAGTGCTTATGCCCACCTTTCTCTCTGTTGTCAAGCACGTACAGATGTCTAAATGCAATGTGATGAAAAGTCATACTTGAACTTCGACATTATGATGCGATTACGCGGGCGTCTTGTCGGTTTATTCGATCTCGTTTATCATCTGCCCTACTTTCACTCCTTGAATTGGTCTGCCTATTCAACCTCGTGTATTTTGGGGATCGAGACTAGTTGTGACGACACATGTGCCGCCATAATTGACAATAGCGGTAATCTGAAGGCAGAAGAGGTTATTTCTCAAACCTGCCTGAGCACTATGTATGGTTTACCTAAGTACATTTTGATTCCAACAACCAGGCTTGGTGGCGTACTACCAACTGTTGCTCGTGAAAGACACGAACAGACAATTCACTCGGTGGTGTCATCAGTTTTAAACAAATGTCGTTCTTGGAGGGTATGTTGTGATGTCTTATCTTTCTGACTCGAAGGATATTGATGCTATCGCTGTCACTGTGAAACCGGGAATGCCGTTGTCACTCAAAGTCGGGGTAGCGTACGCAAAGGAGCTGGCAAAAAATTACAAGTATCCACATATATCTTCTGATTCGAATCTCATTTCTTCAGTAAACCCATTATACCAATACACCATATGGAAGCTCATGCGCTCATCAGTATGTTCACTCATCCCAAGTGAGTTATTGCTTTTTAACTATACCTCTCTGACCAATTCCAGTTCACTCAGTAGTGTGGCGATTTCCTCGTTATATCTGAGTACATTGTATAGAGTTCTCACTGTAATTACACACTTTACACCTAGGGGATCGGTGTAAGTTGTTTGCCTCATGCACCGCCTTTTGTTGCCCGGTGCGTCGGCTGACCCCCTCATCATGTGGCGACAATATGTACTACTTCTTTCCAGTCCCCGAATCAGCACCGCTTATTGGTGTCGTTTCTATAGCTAGAACAATATGTAACGTGCAAAGTCTCTTCATCCATTCGTTTACTGGAACCGCCATTTGGCCTCACGCTATAAGAGCCACCTCTTGCTAAAGACCGTTGTACACATTTTGTTCTTCTACCTTTAGTTATCGTTCATGCCTTGGGATTAATTCCCTCTTCATATGGGATGTGATTCACATTGTCACCAGCTGCACATCTACTTAGCTTGACCGAGGTAGCCATAAGCTACAGATGGCGCGGAAGTGTAAGATATTGCCGTTCGTACTGGTCAACTTGTCTGGACTCCGATTACGCATTGGTTTGCCTACATGCGTTTCAGAGAATCACCTAGGCGTACACACTACCGACCGAACTTCGTAAATTTACAGGACCCTACGCCGCTAGCCAAATACCAGACCTCTCTATCGACGCCGCTTGCGTCAGCTTTTGACCATGAGCTGAATTCACAAGGGATACGCATGAAAAGTGCCTGTATTTTTGCCAGCATTGCTAATGGCGGAGTTGCCCGTCAATCGCCAAGAAGATAAATCACCACTATCTTCTTGTCCCTGATGGATAGACACCGGTCGGTCCCTGCTGACGCCAGGTGTAGTAAGAAATCCCGATCCCTAGATCAAGAATTGCGCAGGTGTTTATAAAACTGCCATGAAACCTGGTGAAGTGAACGTGCTAGAGAGACGAAACGTCTTTCGACTTCTGTTTTGGTCGAAGATTTTGGCTTTGAGTTCCGCACATTCGCGATACATAGAAGGTCACAACAGATTTTTCTGGTGACGGAATACAATTGTGAATAACTCTCAGAGATGTCACTTTCAATAGAAGTGCTCAACTTGGTCCTGCAGCAGCAACAAAAGCTATTTGAGGAACCACAGGCGCGGCTGATCGAAACGCTATCGCAAAAATTTAATGTTCAGTCGTCCTCAACTGACAGTAAATAGTCGTCCGTTGCTGTTATTTCAGGAAGCATCACAGAGTTCATCTATGATCTAGACGCCTGATGCACTTTCGAGTTTTGATTCATGAGATACGAACATACATTCCGGACAGAGCTGTCTGTTACGGATGGTGGCTGGAACTCACGGTTGCTTTCGCGAAAGCTTGAGACCAATGAACACGAAAAGTTTGTGAATTTTATTCTTCCTAAGAGTGCGAAGAATTTTAAATTCGATGAAATCATTGAACTGTTGAAAGAAATCTTTGGGGAAGCGTCCTCTATTTTTAACGTGCAGTATTCCTGTTTGAAACTTATCAAAAGTGACTGTGATGATTTTGTGTCTTATGCGACTACCATTAACTGTCAGTGTGAGCGTTTCAAGTTTAAGGAAATGACGGAAGACCAATTCAAGTGTCTAGTATTTGTTTGTGGTCTTCGATCGCCTGGAACCTCAGATATTCACACCCGCTTGCTTAGTAAGATGGAGCAAGATCCTACCATGAATCTGAGATGAGTCATTTTTGAGTGCCACCGTTTGTTGCGCCTGAGGCACGATACTGCCATGATTGGACGAGAAGCAGTCCCTAACTCTAGTAACGTGCATATTGTGACAAAGCTCCCCATCAAAGCCCACCAATTCCTCTAGAAGCCGCACCTTCAACAAACCCCCAGACACCATGCTGGCAGTGCGGTGATTGGCATTACGTTTGACTGTGCCCATTCAAAAAGCACCACTGTCAGAAATATCACAAACGAGGTCACAGATAGTATCGTTGCCGCACAAACAATGGAACTCTTCCAAAGATCCAGTCCAGCCAGTTCAGAAACAACAGCGTACCAAGGCGTGATCAGAGTCGACACAGGGACTCCCGTACGAGCATCAATCCAGGATGGAACCACGCCACCTGTAACTTATGGTTATGTGGTCAATTTGGGTCCATCGCTGGCCAGGTACAGTAGGACGAGAAGTGGCACTTCGTCGCCCACTTTGTCTAAAAGCAGTGCTACTAAGAAACAACTGGTGCTCCGCACACAGTTGCAGCAGACCCTCACCGTTGTCAGTCCGTTCAGGGTTAAGCCCATAATTACCACCCAGCTAAGCTTCTGAAAAGCTCAGACGCCGTACTTGTGCGTTCCTATCCCTTGCATGTACTATAATATCTGAACTAGTAGCACTGCGTAGTAGCGTGTTCAGTTCGTGGTAGAATGTGTCCTTGGCAGCATCAGAACTGCAGTCAGTGGGAGCATAAGCGGAAATCACAAACAAACAGCGTTTTGTATTACTTCGTGAATCAACCTTAGCTGATGTCGCCAAACGGGCTGCACATAAACGGCTGTTCACCGGAATCCAATCAACCAACGATGACTCAGCCTTGGAGCTTAGAATGCTACCTACATCAGCTTGACTCGTGAGTGCTGCATCGGCGTCTCCGAATGCGTGCAATGAATAACGGGAGGAAACAGGGGTGCACTTATTCAACAACCCCTTTATGATCACTCATCTTTGTTTCGAACAGGCAACACACATCAATGCACAGTGTGTGCAAAGTGCGTGCGAGTGCAGCCTGTTGACCTATTTGTCTTAGAGTGCGAACGTTTAATGTCGCCATGGAAACGGGTTAGAATGGCGTTATAAGGGACTTTTCTATAGGTGCTGTGTGATGGTGGCTGCAGGTGGTTCTACTCCAGTGGCACTTCGGTTGCTGTCACTTATGCTGGGAATTATAGAAGAAAGGTTAGTACTGGGGGTCTGGATGGGAGTAAGATAACCAAGTGGAAAAGAATGCGGGGAGGCGCCATTCGTGCCATGTTTTTGCTTTTCCGCCCTGCTGTATGCAGTAGATAAGGCGACCCTTGATAATCTGCACGACGGCCGATGCAGGGTGAAGCTTATGTTTGAAGTAAAAGTCATGGTTGTATGTGGGCAAATCTACTGCCAGGGCGCCCAGACCTAGACGGGAGGACGATTAGGGTGCTCAACCATAGCCTTTGGCTCAAAGGCATGTCCGCAAGGCAGCGGGGAGGTGGCAATGATTTAGTTTTACAGAAATTGACGCCATCCCATTTCAAACTTCTAACCTGGAGGACCAGGAGACTGAGTTTGTCTGACCTCTCACCATTGACCAACCTGGTAGGGGTAGCTCTCAAGGTACCTGGAAGTACCACCCAGTATAGCTCAATGGGTCAAGGTTGTACGCAAACCTGAAACTTTTGGTGATATGGTCTACCGCTGACCCTCTGCTGTAGGACTGAAAGTTGCAGGTCGGTGCCCACTACGACTAATGGCGGTAGTGCTATAAATCAATCTATACTCGGCGCACTTTTGTAGTAGACACTCGCCGTTATCTGTATGTTTGGCACTGAACGTTTATATACATATATATATATATATATTTATATATATATATATATAATGTATCCATATGGTTGCCGGCATCCGACTTCGGATTCACCTGTCGCTGTTGCCTCCAGGACGCTTGCACCTACGGAGCGGCAGATAGACAACTGGCTTTGACGCAGCGTCGTACGAGTTATTGTGGTGACCAGCCTAGAACTTCCACACTCTCGAACGCTGTCGCTAATTGTCCGCGACTGCTTACTTACGTCGCCTGAGAACAGCCGAGACTTATTCACAGTGACCTTTGCAAGAAAGGCGTTCCGCGATCTACAGCCTGGGGACTGCACGGTGCTCTGCTGAACCAACTAGCGGTGGGATCACTCAGAGGACCTATCCGCGCATCCATATTCCCTAGCACGACATCTAACGGGCACTACCGCGAACCAATGCGTTAAGTTCGTGGTATGCGGTATCGTTAGCAACCTCAGGACTGCAGCCAGCGTAGGCATAACCGCCAATCGCTAACAAACGATTCCTATTGCTACTTCGTGCCCTTACGTTGGTTACTGTCGCTATACAGGATACACACATGCACCTTTTTTAGAAAAGATTCGTCGTACTTAGACTCAAGCAGACAACCACCACACATCCGGACAAGCGCTAGACGGCCATTTCTTCCTATTGGGACTCCTCGATAGCGTGCACCTGCCGGCTTCGAACCTACAACCTTATTCCTGCGATCCAGCGATTTCTGTCACTGACACTTGGGCGACTGTAGCGGACCGCCATGACTGATATCTCACCGATATATCGCGGCTCATCTTTTACTGTGGTGCATGTTATGAATGTGCAGAGTAGAGGGCTGGCCCTCAGAGTAACGACTTTCTTTGCAAGCCGCCACCCATCGAGGTGGCGTGTAAGTTGCTATATTGCAGTTAGATATCAGTCTTGGCGGTCCGCTGCCATCGGCCATGGCTGGGTGCCATAAGTCGCTGGCTCGTAGGAGTAAGGTAGTTGGTTCGAATCCGCCAGGATTCGGCGGGTGCACGCTGCTGACAAGTCCGAATAGGACAAATCGGCCGTCTAGCGCTTTTCTGGATAAATGATGTCTGTCCACATGCGACGAATCCTCACAAAAACTCGATAAATCCCCCCTGTTACTTACACAAGCAGCTTTTAACGTGGATCCAATCAACGAGTGATGCTTAAGCTCTGGATTTTGAGATGATGTCCACTCCAGCTTGACCTCTAATTGCCGCATCAGCATCCACGGCTTCATGTGGCGATTAGAATGAGGGCATGGCAGATGTACCTAGTTTAACAACTATTTGAGGGTCGGTAACAGATGTCAACAATTAGATTGTCCATTGTGCTTGTGAGCGCAGCCTGTTGGCCCATTAGTCTATGTATCCGAGTGTTGAACAGCGTGTTCCCATGAGGGGCTGTTGACGATAGGAGTTCAGTAAATATTACGGGAAGATATCTGCAGATGGCAGAACTCCAGTCAAATCTCAGCCGCCGTCAACTAAACTGCGAGTTGTAGACGGAAGGCGAATAATTGCGGTTGGAAGGGGTATAAGAGAAGCGGATGGGAAATTAAGAGACCCTCCTGCGGTATACAGGAGATAAGGCGACCCCTTTGGTTCTGTACGGCGATCGATGCAGGACGTAGTTGAAGCTTAATGAATTGGTCTTGGTTGTACGTGTGTTAAGATACTTCCAGGGCGCCCAAACCCACTTACGAAAACGCTTAGGGTCCTGAACCAAAGCCTTTAGCTCGAACGGCTGACCGCAACGCATCATGGAGAAGGCGATGATCAGCTCTTACGGAAATAAAGACTGCTATTTCCAACCTCCAGTCTGGAAGATGAGATGGCTGAGTTCACCTGACTTCCCGCCATTGATCTATCTGGTACGGATAGCTCTCAAGAGGCCCGAGGACATCACCCCGTTGCACCACGCTAAGATTGTGTATTACTGCGACGGCGTAGCCATCTTTGATTCCTTGTGTAGTGCTACAGATGTAGCTGTTAGTACAGTCACTAAGGCCGACGCGGCGCAGTTCGCACCTTCTCTTCTCAGTTTGTGTATATTTTGATTACTCATACATTGTCTCACTTGATGCTTATCCTTACCTTGTAAGCTCGGTTTACTTGTACTGGAGCTTATGCTGACGAGGTGCTTAATCGTTCGAGGCAACCAATGCGTTTGCTTACACCAGCTGGCCATCTACACAGTCGTTTTGGCGATACTGGGTGAAAAGAACGGTTCAGCTACCACATTTTATGCTTCCGTCATGAGTGAGTAACTAAAAGACTTTGCTCCAGCTACTAATCAACTGCTCACATAATGTGTTATACTTTCGTTATGCAGACTACCTCTACAGTTTTTGGGTGCTGTCATGACCTTAGGGCACTGATGAATGCATTCATTAACCTGTTGGAGGGTTTCTTATCTAACGGACTGGTCGTTGAAATTGTCCTAGTCTTCTGGAACGATACGGGCGTCAGGTAAACTTATACCCGGAAACAAGACGGAGTGCACTTATCTATACTCGCGAACTAGACAGAACGCACTGGTCGGTACTCGCGCTCTGTACCGCTTGCTGTCCTCGCACCCAACCCCGAGAAGAGAAAAGAGGGCTGGATTTCAGGAGAAGGCTTTTAGGACTTAGCGGAAAGGCGGTTACATAGCCGCACAGTCTCAATTCTATCCCGAGACTTGGGACATGGACTGCGAAGAAAGTGGTCCCAGGAATCGTGGGCGTCTACGGGACAAGAGCATTCACACGCTATGTTGTGGGTGTCGGAGTGAGTGAAGTGTGGGCATGTCAGACATGAGCGTGGGTGTCTTGACTGTGAACACACGAAAGTACGATGTCTGGATCAAGATTTGCACGACTTTGGAGACAAGGGCTCCTCATAACAGTTTCGATGTTACTGTCTCCCATATCTGCACTATACGATGCGTTTTGTCCTGTTTTGGACTCATCAAGTAGAGATAGTCTTAGTTGGGAGTGGAACTTTGCACATTTTGCCTGACATCTGTTGCTGTTATCACTAGGCCATTGAGTTCTGCGAGCATATTGAAGGCATATGAACCGACTCTTTATTAGCCCCATTCGCACTTCACGCTGTCGTATTCGGATCTACACACAACACAGGGTGGTCCTGTGGCTAGAGCACATGCATTCCGTGCTTGTTCCCCATATGCAACTATCCCATATTCATTTAGAACCACAGCTGTAGGCATTTTTAACAACAGATGCATTCATCCGTTACATCGGCTATCAGCACCATGCCATCTCTCTTATCTGCTCTACTTTTCCGCAGTCTCCAGTTTCCTTTTCTCGCACTGTTGGTCAGTGGAGGTCATGGGCTTTTGGCTCTGGTTCGGGATTTAGAGGATTTTTTACTGCTGGGCACTTCGTTAGATGCACCACCAGGCGATGTCCTTGATAAAGTGAGTTTTGCACTGCCTTTTTAGTGACAAGATTCTGGGTTATTTTTAATGCGTTCCTATTCACCACGAATTTCAAATCATGGTCATTATTACTGTAACGATACCACCAATTGCTTTGCGCTGTCTAATCTGATTTGTCGCAGCTAGCTTGGAACAGCATGATGCTACGATTCGCCTACCTCCGATTCATTTAACGATACTCGATAGCGCTTTGTAGCACCTTGGCATCCACTCATATCACCTTAGTCAATGTTTGTTGTCAGATAAAGCGTCTTGCTTTCTCCGTCGCGGCACCCATTTACGGGCACATGGCCCACCTTGGGGACCGTTGCTAGATGCTCACCACGTTGGACCGTATAGTAACTTTTGAGGTATTTGACGTTCTGCCCAAGCATCGATGCGGCGCATTATCCCAGAGCATGCAGTATTACGATGTTGTGCAGTTCAGATAGATATCTATGATCCGGGCACCGAATCACAATGGTGAAGAGACTGAGCTATAACGTGGACAGAATATGGGGGCAAAGAGGGTAAATCTAATCGGGATGTGGCATCAACGGCTAGATTAGAGAAGTGTAATGCAGGACCGCCACTGAGTCCGCGACTGCTCTATGTCAGACAACTTTTCTAACCGTTAATGTGACACCTCCATAATGACTGTACTGGTCGCCAAAGTCGCGCCGTGCTGTTATGACTGAATGTTGAAACCTGGTCACTTCGATTGCCCGATCAAGTTAGAATGGTTACAGACCCCCATTTAATGGCCGCCAGACACATGACAATTACGTGGCGCAGACTGTCGATATTTATCTCTTCTTCGTAACCTTGAACGTTCTCCTTTCTCTACTGTTCTCTACTTATCAGCAATGGCATTACATTATCCGAGAACATTTTTTGACTAATCAGTGCGATTGTTCCACTTGATTGCTAGGAACAGGTTGGAGTTTGGTTCGTATAGGATCATCATCAGCATTAGACACGTTAGCTAGATGTGGAAAACATGTCAGCTATTAAGTTGAAAAACCCATTGATTGATCAAAAGTCTGCATAAGCGAACATGTGTTTTCAGTACTTCCTCGTCAGGTTTTTACAACTACATGAAAATCAACATTTTGTATGCAGACCCAACGGTGTGTCAGTCAGCCAAATTTATTCTACTACGCTATGACAAACCCTCGGTCAAGTTCCAGTTGTAGTCGCACGCTCACACAGGTCAACTGCAATCCGTCCTGGCCGAGGTAGACTCAACGCGTAAGTGAACCTTCTCTGCGTGCACAGCGCTGGTTCGTACAGCCGAATGGCAATGGCTTCTGCGGCGTCTAATATCCGCTTACAGAAATACTTTGATCGATCTTCGGGGCCTAATAGATTACTTTGAACGAATCAGCCGACTTGGTGGTGTGACCCGTATCCGCAAGGTGTATGGCGATAGCAGAGTTGGTGGCCTTTTGGCCTCAATTTCCGAGCCACCTGTTGTGTCACAATACATGAGAAAAACGAAAAAAGATGCAAAAAAACGCATGCTGAAGAAAAAGCACGCAGAAAAACATCTAGAGTTCACTAATCCATTCCTTAGGAAATGCTCCTACCAACAATGCCCGCGCGCACCAGCCTGACCAATTCTGGCAGCCATTTGCTTTACAGATGTATCCAACGTGAGAGACTGGTCATCTCACGGTTGCGTCCAACAACCCAGTGAGTCAACTGGGGGCTTCTTGGCAAGCACTGACTGGAGGACCTTAACATCACCCACCCGCTTTTCCACCCAGATGTGAGCAACACTCTGCAAACGCCGGTGACAAGGCATGGTCAATCTCCTAATGTCAGCGCAATGTGACTTGGTCTTTGCTCACACAATAACCGGCTTTATCGCTTCGTTATATGTTCTGCCTTTGGCTAGCAGACCGATGCCCGCTGTCTCCATTGATGGTTGAGCCTCTAAAAAGCCATCCGAACTTACTGGTACGCAAAGTAACCACGGTGATATGACCACCAGATGTGACACACGTACCAAGGTTAGTAAACCGATCGACAACTTCCAGTGATTAGTCAGTGATAACAAGAACCAGTGGCGAAGAGACCCGGTCCTGCAACAGTATTTAGTACTCTTAAAGTGACAAGCACATACAGAAGCATGTGGCGCTACGCGTTAGTGTATTCAGTGTTTGCATAGCCACTGTTTCAGATCCAAAGAGAGCGGTGTCATCCACATACTGAAGGTTTGTCATTCGGTCACCTGGCAGAACCTACTCCCCTAAAGAGCCTTAAAGAAGGGAGTTATTTGTGGTCAGTCTCAACTCTGCTGCATTCCATTTGTTTTGATGAACTCGGGAACCAGATTCCCTTAACCTCTTGTCTGACACCGGGAATCGCGGTAAGGAGACTTTAATCTGAGAAGCACTTTCCCTGTTATGACTTTTGTATTGAGTAGTGTTGGCCCATTAGGTCAGTGGACATAAAGAGGCTAGTTACGTTCGTTCATCGCTGCCTTCTCAACTTAGCTTATGTCTGGTGGGAGCACTGCGTGAGCAATGATCTTGTTCGACGTCGCGTATTTGGTGAAGGAAGAGCTAGTGAACCGCTCAGCACCATTATATCATGCACCAGGCTGCGATGGCTGGGCCACGTGTTGCGCATCCCATCCCACAAACTCCTGCGACTTAAGTTGTTTGCGCGCCGTGAGTGTGGATGGTAGAGAAGGAGTGGAGGTCAATCGATGACTTGGTTGAGAGAGATGAAAACCCCCACTTCGAAGTTGGTGTCAGTTGGTGCATCTCGACTGCCGGGCTGGGGCTTGAAGGACGGTGAACACGTTTGGTTGGACACACTTGCTGACATGGCTAAGAGCCGGCTCCAGTGGAGTTTGTGCCTCCGATTTCTTCGTCCATCCTCCACCTTTAGATTCACCCTCCAATAACGATCTTATGGCAAATTACTAATATACTATTTGGCATTGTATTACTTTGTTTTGTAAATTTTTGTACTTTTTTGGTATCTCATCTTTTTTGTATTGCGGCACCTTATCTGTGGCGTGTTTCTCATCCTCAGCTAACGTGTATTGATGATGACGATGTTATGACCTTTACGGACTGCAGTACCAAAAACAGGTAAGATCAGTCGAGTTGAAAGCGACTTTCACGTCAATGAAGATCACCATATTCGTTCATCTGTATGTCTGCTGCGTTGGCAGGTGACTGAAAGCATATAGCATCTGCTTGGTACCTAAAGGTCTTATATTCTAACCTGCATAAGTGTGTTCCGCCTCGGTATATCTCTAGCCCGGTACGCGATTGGTGATGATCACACCGTAACTAGCAGTCTTAGCACCAGTCTATTGAATAGACACTAAGTCAAACAATACCATATAAATTTTTATCATGCCTGATATGGTGCATTCGAGAATGAAATATTTATTTATTTGTAACTCACTGGAAGATTTAATCACCATATCATCATAGCACATTAGCTGAAGGTGAACAGCACACTTTAGCTATAGTGCTAGTGCGATTTTTCATGCTCCATTTTGTTTTTCCTTGTCTTACAATTGTTACGCATTAAGCCTCTAAATCTAAACAAGTGGGTACACAGGTCTTCCATTTGGTTCCGATTGTGTGCCATATCCTCTAATGTTTCCGGCCATCGGCACTCTTCGTCCGCTGTTCAACCACGCCGAGGTGTGGATCCAACGGCGGTAAGACATGAAGTCAACTATTTTATATGCTATCGCCATGTGGACAGCTGACCAAAACGTCATCTCTTCCAACCAAGTCCTGCACGAGCGTAAGAGGCGCAATGGGACAAACGCTCGGCTGACATACGCAAAACGTGACCAAGCTATCTTAACTGACGTGGCGAAATCAACTTGTTGTGATGACTGCTCGCATTCCCTAAGACATGACGTCTGACTTCACGGTTGCAGATGGGTTATTGCCACAACACACGAGCAATCCTCCTCAAACACCTCAAAGCACCTTAAAAATCGGGACAATAACTGACTCGCCCTTGGAAGTAGGTGCCTTTTCTTTACGCCAGACTTTGGAAAACAATGAGGTTAACTTTCTGATGATAATTGCGCCTCCCTAATTGAACAGCTCCGTAGAAAGTCCGTCAGAGCCGATTGCCTTGAATCATTTCAACTATCGAGTCGCAAGACCAGTTTCGGCTTTGTTGGGTGGTTCAAATGTGACTACCCACGACGCGCAGCTGGGTTCACAGAGCATACAAGTAGACAGTGTGAGTCGTTTGAACTGAGAATGAAAATTTTCGGTCCATTGATGCAAGCGTATCTGTAGGTCGGAAATCGGCGAACCATCTGCTTTCCAAATAGTCTCACTGTGGCCAGCGGATTGGATGAGCTGGAAGAACTTGCGAGTTTTGTCAGAGAGGGCAGCAGCCTCTATTTCCGAGGCACGCCGAGACCACCAGGCTTCATGATCTCTGCGTAGGCTTTGTATGAGTTCCTGACTGACAGAGTGACGCATATCACTATGATTAGACTCCGGTGGGATATTTCTGTGGCGGTCAAATAGATCCAGGGTGAGCGCGAAGATCCAGGATGCTTAGTACGACCACAGACCAACTGTCCGGGAAAGATCATGGTCCTCTGCATGGACGTCTAGTGTTCATCAATATCTTGATGTTGATGCTGTGCGCATTGGCAGAGCAAATTGCTAGCTCTGCTGAACCGAGAGAGACGATAGTTTATTTGTATCCAGCTTACAGTGATTTCTTTTCGGGCATACTATGAAATGCAGATGTTCGCACAGACATGAGCGTGGTCTGAATCAAGAAATATGGACCAGATTGATCTAAAATCCTTTACACTATCCCGCCATCTGCAATTGATTGCGATATAATCTAAGGCCATGACTGAGGGGAAGATAGGAGGCGCAAAGTAACGTGACGTCCCCTCGACTGCCGTAACCTGATGCTGGAGAGAAAAATTATTGTCTTCATACAGTGTGGGAAGTCTGTCTGCATTATCTGAGCGGCTCTCATCG